TCCCAGGAGATAAAACCACATGGTTAGCTTTCTTTTGAAGAAAAGTCTGAATTTGGAGAATGCTCAGTTAAGACATTTCTGTTTCCTTTGAGTGATAGTTCTAACTTAGAAACTGATAAAAAGTTCATATGCATAAGAAATCAACAGTATTGTTGATTGTTGTCATTTTTGGTGTGGATCCCATTTCAGGAATTAAATGGGATTTCTCCAAACTAATATAATTTTGCCTTGAGTGAGGTGTGTCAGCATTCAGACTATCCACTAGTCATACAGCAATCCTTTACGATCCTTAGCTGCCTCAACATTCCCCATTAGTGTCCTCAAAAGATTTCCAGTCCTATGTTTAAGTAATGCTATCTTCACAGAAACTTAGGGCTAGACATTTCATCATAGAGCATCCAAGCATCCCTCACTTGCAAAGTACAGCCTAAAACTCAGCAGTTAGGTCACAGTACCTATTCTTATCACTTATTAGGCTCTCTGAACTTGGCTAAATCACCTAATTCCTTCAGTCCCAAGATGCCCTTTCTGTAAAACAGAGATAGAGTCCCAGCGGCTGAAAAAAATCCCTTCTAAAATCTGATATCTGACTTGATAATAACAGACCTATAATCTATGCCAAGTACATAAAGGCTATCTAATGAAGAAACCAGAAGATTGTGCATACAAACCCAGCACAGAGAAGGGGCTCAACTGCATCACATAGGGATCTGTGTCTTGCATGTACCTCTAGTACAGCCATACAATGATGTAAAACATGTCATAATCCTAGGCGAAGATTGAAGGGACCTTAAAATGTAGTCATCTTATCCCATTTCTCCTCTTCTTCCTCTGATAAGTGAAGGCTGGACAGCTTTCTACAGCTGACACACAAGCCTTAGTATTAGAGGTCAAGAGGAAAACACTGTATACAGGAAGCCAGCTCTGCTGAATATGATTTTATACCATTAATGATGATAATTTTAAAACAACAAAGACTTAAAATCGTAGCCGAAAGGAGAAACTGAGTCTCAAAGTCTTACCTCAAGATTCACCATAACAAAATTATGGGAAAGTTCTGAAATTTCTGTAGATTCGGCAAATTTGGGCTTCAAAGCTAAGAGGGAAAAAATATCTTAGAATACATGAAAACATCATTGTCAAATCCAAGCCCTAATTTGCTAAGTTGATTCAGATAAATGAAACTTTTTTTTTTTTTTAAACTCCTAACAACCAGAAATCAGGACACCTAAATTCTGGTCATGCTTCTGTCACTTACCCACACAGGTATGTCACCAGAGTGACTGACTTCATTTCTCTCAAGCTTTTATCCCATTTATAAAATATGGATAATAGCATACAAATGAAAACAATTATTTCTATTTGCTTTTTATAGCCACATTTCAGTAACTTCTATTGAAGTAATAGACAATAAAGTAACATCACAACATATATATATATAATTACACTATTTGCACTAATTTCATATTCCTTTTCCAGTTAGGATTCTGTAGAGTGTAGCATATCAAACAAAAGAAAAAAGCTGACTGGGAAGTAGCAAGGTGGCCCAGCAGAAAAACACATGTCACAAATAACTCTGGTTTCCACCTTTTGCAGACTTCCCTAAACACTTCTCATGTCTCTATATATTTCAGTTTCCTATATTTACTGTCCATATGACTACGGCAGCACTTAATCCTATACTCTCCCGAACCATATCTCATTGTTTTGCCCTCCAATCCCTTCCATAGATAACTGCAAACTTCTTGGGGACAAGAAATCTATGTCATATATTTCTTTGGTATTCCTTAAAGCTATCAGCAATGCTGGGACAAAGTCTGTGCTATTATTTTTTAAGTGTTAATATTTAAGAACCCATTGGAGGTTGGATTATTTGCACTTACCTTTGCAAGCTCCACACCAGGACTTGTGGATAATCACCATCAGAGGCAACCCACTTAAAAAAACAAAGAAATTACAATCTAGTAATTCCACTTCTTTAAGTCTATCCTAATAAAATGACCACCTGATAAAGACAAAGGTTAATGTACAACGTAGTATGACTTAGATTAAGAAAATTTTTAGGCAACCTAAATATTATAGATTACTGTAGTACAATTATTAGTAAGTTCTGACATTCCTGTAAATTCTGCAAATCTGGGGTTTAAAGCTAGGGAGAAAAGACATCTAAGAGAAGGAAACATCAAATTACAGTACTTCTAAATGTTACGTTATATAACCACTGAAAAAGTTAATAAAACTTTTCATTGCTATGTCAAATTAAAAACTAGAACAGGGGTGCTTGGCTGGCTCAGTCAATAAAAACATGTGACTCCTGATTTTGGAGTCCTGAGTTCAAGACCCACGTAGGGCATACAGCTTACTTTAAAATAAATTTAAAGGGGCGCCTGGGTGGCTCAGTGGGTTAAAGCCTCTGCCTTCAGCTCAGGTCATGATCCCAGGGTCCTGGGATCGAGCCCCGCATCGGGCTCTCTGTTCAGTGGGAAGCCTGCTTCCTCCTCTCTCTCTCTCAGCCTGCCTCTCTGCCAACTTGTGATCTCTGTCTGTCAAATAAAATCTTAAAAATAATTAAAATAAAATAAAATAAATTTAAAAAACAAATATAGGGGTGCCTAGGTGTCTCAGTCAGTTAAGCATCCACCTTCAGCTCAGGTCATGATCTCAGGTCCTGGGATGGACTCCTTCCTTGTGTTCAGGAGGGAGTCTGTTTCTCCCTCTTCCTCTGACCCTCTCCCTATTCGTGTTCTCGCTCTTCCAAATAAATATGTAAAATCTTTTTTTTTTAAAATCCTCACAACAATCCTGAGGTATATTATTGTTCTTATAAAAGAAAGGAGAAAACACAGACTAAGAGTTCTAAGAGATTAAATATCTGACCACATAAAATCTAGGTTCTGCCACTTACTAGCTAAGTTCATTAATTCTGGCTCCAAAACCAATGTTCTTTCTGACCATTAAAGTTTACTTCAATTTAGGATGGCAATCCACAACCAATAATCAACTAACTTTGAATCAGAGAACAGAGGTTGTTAAAGACCTTAGAGGTCGCCTAATCCAAACCTCCATTTCACCCAGGAATTCTAATATATCATATACCATCTAATATATCACATGTAATTATAATACATCCAAAATATCTAGTATTAACAAATGGTGGCTAAGATTACCTGATGAGCAAGAAACGCATCACTAACAATGCAGCCTATCCTTTTAATGACTCCATGCATTTACAGAGCATTTAAGAATGCCTTGTTCCCTCCTCTCCCAAGAAAATTCCTATTTATCTTTCTAGAGCAGATTTTAGCCAACCAGTCTGTAGACCTGATCCAGCCTACTGCCTGCTTCCATAGAGCTGTAACATACAAAAAAACCTTTTTTTTTTTCATTCCTAAAAGGAAATGAAAAAAAGTACCAAAACATAATAGCAGTTATCCCTAGATGATGGGATTATGGTTTTACTATATTTTTTTTCTGCATTTTCCAATTTTTTTATAATTAAATGTAATTTTTATAATCAGGGAGAATAAGCTTTTTCTTTTTTAAAATGATGAACAACATAATCCACCTTGGCCAGTGGTGGATTATTGAACCAGTCTTGGCCAGATGAAGCTCTTAAGCTCTCAAGGCTAAAACCCCAAGTTGTAGGAGAGTCCTATGTAAGCAGCCATTGGCTTTCTCCCTCATCCAACCCCTGTATCACCACACCATCATACAGTATATATGATCACTGCATTTACTACATTGAACTCTCTTACCTGTCTCCCTGCAATAGACTTGGGAGTTTCATTTTTAAATGTTTGGAAAACAAATCTAAAAAATAGTACCTTGTGATGTTAAAATTCAATATAATTCACCCTTCAGTGCAGTTTTATTAAAACACACTCATACTCAGTTGTATACTTACTGTAAATGGCTATTTTTGTGATACAAGGCGCTATAGTTAATAAGCTGCAACAGAGACCTTATCCCCTACAAAGCCTAAAATATTTGATATTGGACCCTTTGTTGACCCATGTTCTAGAGTGACAGTTCAAATATCAACCCTTCTATGAAGCCTTCCCAAAACTACCTTCTCTCAACAGCTAACTAGTCCTTTCTTCCTCTGGGGTTCCAAAGCATTCTGTCATCATCCTGCAACTGCCAACCCTTTTCATCCCATAATCGTGTTTACTTGTATTTTTCACTAAACTATTAATTTCTCAAGGGCAAAGCCTATCTAATTCATCTCTGAAAATCACAAATGCTGACAAGGCAGATATCCACCATTTGTTTAAAGAAATCAATGAAAGAATGAAAAACAGCTTAAAGTGAAATTTGCCTTAAAAACCAGAATGAAGCACAACAGTTATAGAAGTTATCATAATTACTCTAGGTTAGACCAAAATATCTAGTCTCTCACTAAGCACTATCAAAGTACTATTTTGGTCAAAGGCATAACAGTGATACTCACGTATCTAAATATTACACTAGGTAAATCACATGAAGAATATTAAGTTACATTAAGTGAAAAAGATTCCAACAGACTTACTTCTTTTAAAAGATTTTATTAGATGAAATAATCCAATAGTTAAGTCTTTCACTTCCACTAAAACCAAAGCTTCCCAAGAACAAAAACCAGTGGATTTATCTGTGACCCCTGACCCCAGAATAGACTAACAAAAAGTAGGCACAGTACTCAAAAACTTATTTGTGGTATGAACAAAGTGAGTGCAGATGAACAGGGCCATCTTCAGTTCTTGTCCGAACTGTTTTAAAACAATTCATCCAACCAGTCTGCTCTCTCACCATTCAGATGGGGGAAATCATCAGTGTGTGATACCCCAAGTAGAACCCAATCTAAACAAACCGTGTCCACCTGAACTCTGTCCCCTGGAGAAACTTGCCAAGAATCTCCAAGCCAGTTCTCCATTTTTTTCTAGTCTCGACTTACGCTGTAAACTCAAGGCCTGGCACAGAGCAAAGTAAACCAGTCACAACAGCTCTAGTGCCACACAACAACATGTTCTGCAGACTGAGATTACTCTATCAAGAAAAACAGAGAGCAGGGGAGGTTACACCAGGAGCCTTGTTAGTGCAGACTCTGGTTCAGATACTGCAGAAACATGTTGGCCAGCTGAGGAAGGTTCTCATTGTTGGGATGCATTTTGGTGTAGGAAATAAACTGGCGACGGAGGCGACTCAGTTCTGCCATGGTCAAAGCCCGGGTAAACTGCAGGTGCTCAGTGGTTCCAGGAAGCTTAAGCAAGTCTCCAGGGACCGCGCTCTTCTGGGCTTCCATCAATCCCGCCAACACCTGGCTCGTAATCTGATCCAACTGGTGCAGAAAGCTGCCAGAGGCAAGGGGCTGGGACTGTGTAGACTGATGAGGTGGGGGAGCCTGGTTCTCAAACAAGGCATCCCGTATCTCTGCCAGGGGCAACGGCTCCTCTAAGCCCACCAACGTGAAGAGGGGCCGGTCCCAGCGGTTCCGAGAGTCGGGAGCCTCAAAGCGCAGCGTTAGAGCCTCCATAAGTTCAGGAGGATATAAGGCACTTGAATCACCCTTTGCATCTTTATCGAAGTCTGGAGTCACACGAGCTGGAAGATCTGGCGCTTTGGTATTCTCCTGCTCCAGTTCTTTAGGTACATTGACCTGGGTTCTTCCACTTACTACGAAGTCCACTGTTTGGGGTTCCCTGAGGGCACTGCCGCCAGCCACCAGAGGTCTCCCTCTCTCCTCAGTGCGCGGCCTCCAACTCACACTGACGTTCTGGCCTTGGTTGTCTGTCGCACCCTCCACCTGAGGTCCCCCGCTCACACCGCCGGGCCGCACGCAATATACCAAGCACAGCGGGGTGCGCGCCGCCCGCGCGAGGCAGTAAAGCTCGTAGCGGAATCCCTTGATGTAGTTAAGCGAGTCGAGAATGACCACATCGTGGCGACTCAGGCGCCGCTCCACCGCAGCTCGCAGAGCGCCGCGCAACGCCTTCTCACGGGCCGAATCGCCGTACACGGTCGCGTCCTCGGTGCCCAGCACCGCCGCGTCATCCACCACGTACACCGCGCGGCCCTCAGCCGCCAGAGCCCCACGGAGCTCCTCCACGCGCCGGCTTTTGCCACTGTACGGCAGCCCGCAAAACACCACGAGCGGCATCCTTACAGGGCGCGGCCATGTACAACGGCGTAGCATCAACTTCCGGGGTGTAAACGTGACGGACGCAAGCCGGAAAGGCAAACTGCACTTCCTGTCCCTCTCGAGGCTTAAAGGACCTACTGTTGCTATGGGAACACGAGGGAAATCCCAACTAACTCTAGGACCTGCTATCTCAGAAAGGTGATGGAAACTAGAATGACAGCAGTTATTTATGTCAACTGTGATTCTCCCTGTGGCCAAAAACAATGCCCAAAAATTTTTAATAGGGCCTTAACGAGCACTAACAATCAGCACTACATTCAGCATGCAAAAGGAAAAGGGCCATTCACAAATGTTAGTTCCACTTCATACCTTATACCCAGTGACTCTCAGTAACTGTTTACTCAATAACCTTTTCAATCATTTAACTTCTCCATGATTGGGAATTCTGAAATGAACATCAGGCAGTTCCCCCTATAGGAGGTTAAGGGTCTGAATAGGAAAAATCAAGCACCTACAAGCAGAGTAAGATAATACTATAATGGATAGAGTAGATTGGGATATAAAAGTAGAGAAGAGGAAAACAAACTGCCCGAAGGAATAGTCGTTTGATTTAGAACGTGAAAAGCTAACAGAATTTTTTCTCCTGGGTAAGGCTGCCCAATAAAATACAGGATGCGTAGTTAAATTTGAACTTCAGAAAAGCAACAAAAAAAATGTTTTTAATATGTTTCAGATACTGAATAGGACATATTTAAAATTACTTCTTGCTTACCCGAAATTCAAATTTAACTGGGCATCCTTATTTTTATTTGTTAAATCTGGCAACCCTATTCTACAGAATGTGTGAGACTCAGAGCCATGAAGGTGTAGGATCTGTTCTAACAAGATACAGTTGACCCTTGAAAAATTATGGGTTTGGATTGTACAGATATACTTGTAATGCAGACTTTTTTTTTTTAACAGCACAGTACTATAAATGTATTTTCTCTTTATAATTTTCTTAACATTTTCTTTTCTCTACCTTACTTTGTTGTAAGAATACAGTATGCAATACATATAACATACAAACTATGTGTTAATTGACTGTTTATGTTATCGGTAAGGCTTCCAGTCAACAGATTACTGGTAGTTAAGTTTTTGGGGACTTGAAAGTTATATGCAGATTTTGACTAAGCGGGCGGTCAGCACCCCTAACCCACCAGCATTGTTCAGAAGTCAACTGTAATTTTGTAGGTGCAGAAATGTGTGGGTCTTTGTGTCTCTCCAGTATACTACAGTAGAGAACATTCAAATATTGGCTCTGTCACTTACTAGCTGTGTAATCTACTGACGAGTTATTTAATCATTGTGTGTCTGAATTTCCTCTCCCATAAAATAATAACAACAGTTCTTATTTCAAAGGCTGAACCTCATAGATTATAAGGATTAAATAATTAAATAAATATAATTAATTAATGCATGTAAAGCACTTAGATCAGTGCTTTAGCTTTCCCTCCCTTGCTCTATCTTTTTTCCCTCCTTTATCAGTTATTTGCATCAGTGGATAGACTAAAAATAATTGAACGTTAAGACTATTCAACTTGAGACTATTAGGCAATATAATTTACTGGTTGAGTGCAGGCTCTGAATCCAGAGTGCCTGGGTTTGAATCTTGGCTCCACCATTTACTAGCTGTCTAATCTTAAGCAAGTTACCTAACTGCTCTGTGCCTTAGTTTTCTCATCTCTAAAATGAAGGTAACAGCAGTACCCACTTCAGAAGAGCTGTTGTGAGAATTAAATGAGTTAATTCACATAATTCAGTGTCTGGTGCATAATAAGCACTTAGTAGCAGTAGTAGTAGTAGTAGTAGTAGTAGTAGTAGTAGTAGTTGCCTAACTACTCAGTTCTGGCTCTGTTTTGGCATAACCTTCACCTGTAATTAATGTTAAGTTGATGGCTGGAAAATGTTTTGCTAGCATATATAACCTACTGAATGTATTTTTTAAAAAAGTAATCTCTAGGCCCAACCTGGGTAAGAAGCCTTATCGATAACATAAAAACGCTCTACCCAACTGAGCCAGCCAGGCACCTCTTCCCCCATAAATAACCTAAAACCATATCTTGTACCTGGCAGCTGCTTCCTTCTTCCCATCTTCTAGTGTCCTCCAATGAATGTGATCTCCAAAACCTGGAAGGAAAGAGCCTTATAAACATTCACTGGTGAACAAAGGACAAAGACCCAAAAAAGAAACGTGGCCTATTCATAAAATACGCATAAAAAATCTTTCCTTTGTCAAGAGCATCATGTTCAAGTCCCAGTTCCACCACTTTCTAGGTGTATGGGACCATGAACAGTCCCATACCTCAAGCCTCAGCTTTCTTTCATACCTATAAAATAGAGATAACACCACGTAATTCATAGTTTTAAGGAGATTAAATAATGGCTGTGAAATGCTTTGTAAACTAACACCGAATATGCAAATAATACTGTAAGAATGAATGAGAATTTTCCACAAAGAAAACATAAAGTAGGTCATACAAATCACTACTCGTTGGATACAATACAGCAACATAGGTTTAGGGTCAGAAATACATGGGTATGTGACTCCACTTCCTATTAAATGTGTGAATGTAGTAAATTCTCCAAGTCCCAATTTCTTCATCTTTAAAGTCAAGATAATAATAGCTACCTCTTAGTGTTGGTGTGAAGATTAAATGAGATAATGTATTTAAAGCTCCTCTTATTATTCCCCTCACTCTGCCAGAGTGATCTTTTAAAATCACATCTCTGCTGAGTAAAAACCTTTCAGAGGCTCTCCAATTACCTAAAAGGAAAGGTCAAACTCTGGTAGCAGGACTTACAAAGACTTTCAGAATCTGCCCATCTCCCTAGGCTCACTTTCTATGCTTTGTCTAAAATCCTATATACAAAACTACTTTCATTTCCTTAAACTGGCTGCCTCCTTGGTCTTCCCCCTCACTTCCAATTCATTCAAGTACAAATCTAGAGGGCATCTTTACTTCTGGTAAATCTTCCCTGACTCCCAGGGTGTCTGGGTAGCTCAGTTAAGCATCCGACTTCAGCTCAGATCATGATCCCACTGTCCTGGGATTGAGCCTAGCATTAGGCTCTCTGCCCAGTGGGGAGTCTACTCTTCCCTCTGCCCCTCCCCCTCCTCCTGTGACCATGCCTATGCGCTCGTTCTCTCTCAAATAAATATTTTTTAAAAATTTTACTCTAACTCCCAAACACCACCTTCTTGCCTCATCACAGCACTTCCCAGGCTGAACTGTGTTTATGTGCCTGTCTCCCTCACTTTAAAGGGAATTCCCTAAGGGCTGAAGCCATATCTGTCTATTCCTTCCAGTTTCCCCAGCATTGAACAACTACACATGGCCATAGTAAGTGCTCAATAAAAATATTTATTGAGGGGCGCCTGGGTGGCTCAGTGAGTTAAACCTCTGCCTTCAGCTCAGGTCATGATCTCAGGTCCTGGGATCGAGCCCCACATCGGGCTCCCTGCTTGGCAGAGAGCCTGCTTCCCCCTCCCTTCCTCTCTCTGCCTGCCTCTCTGCCTACTTGTGATCTCTGTCAAATAAATAAATAAAATCTTAAAAAATATATTTATTGAGTAAATGAATCTTATTTGGGCCATATCATGTAAATGACTTAATTTTATATCTGGAAAATTTAAGTGATCATAATAATGTTGTCATTTATTGGTCACCTTATGTGTACTTGTGTTAAATACACGTTATCTCATTTAAATTTGGCTTGAATAACAACACTTTCTATATTTCCCTATACTTCTGTTTTCTCATCAATAAAATAGGTATAATAATATCTACATCTCATAAGATTGTTACTGAATATTACATAAGAAATACTATAGGGACGCCTGGGTGGCTCAGTTGGTTAAGCCGCTGCCTTCGGCTCAGGTCATGATCCTGGGGTCCTGGGATCAAGTCCCGCATCGGGCTCCTTGCTCGGCGGGGAGCCTGCTTCCTCCTCTCTCTCTGCCTGCCTCTCTACCTGCTTGTGTGTACTCTCTCTCTCTGACAGATAAATAAAATCTTTAAAAAAAAAAAAAAAGAAATACTATAAATATCAGTACACTGCTTAGCATTTTATAAATGATCAATAAAGAGCAGCTTTGTTTGTTATTCTTGATAGCTTGAGACTTCAAAGGTTCAGAGAAGTTATATAACATGTACCAGGTCACAGAGCTGGTAAATGGCCATGCTGGGATTTAAACTTCAATTTTATGACACCTCAGTTATTATACTATCTTTTGGGCCTTTCTTTCCCTGAAATAAATTCAAATTCCCATCACTGTTACCACAGGGGAATAAACAGATCATCCAGATTAGCAAAGGGATGCAGTGTCCAAACTAATCATCATCACTTTTCATTCCCAACAGCAAGAATTGCTAGCCAAGAGAAAATGTGTCATTTACCTAGGGCCCAAAGTCTAAACCTGATGAGTCAATGATTAAGTGAGAGTGAAACTGGGAGAATTGGAAGGTGCCTAATGTGACTAATCACCACCATTCTACCTGTCAATACCTAAACTGAGGCAACTGAATCCTACTTTGGTGGAATGCCCCACTAGATAGTCTGGAGGGATAGTCACCTACAAAACAATAAAATCCTGATAAAAATGGACTTTCAGAATGTGCTCACTGGGCTCACAGTGATAAACACAAAATAAGCTAAAACCAGATGAGGAATAGTGAGCGACAAGCAAAAGGGAAGACTGATCTGAAGATAAAGCATTACAATAGAGCAAAATGGAGGAGATAAATCTGAGACTCGATATTAAACCAACTCAAAAAAGACTAAAGTGATAACACCCCCAGTTTTCCAGATGAAAAATGCCAAGTCTTTCTAGAGGAAAGTACTTCCCTGTTTAGGCCTCCAGAATAGCCACAGATAAACAATTACGAGTTCACAATCCTAGATCCCCACGCATGTAAGAAAACACGCCACCACAATTAAGAATCAGCAAAAGCAACAAATAGATTTAGACTCCTAAGGACTTTAGATATTAGAATTATCTGATATAATATAATATATTATATCAGATATATAATTATATATAATATATATAATTATATATATAATATATAATATAATATATTATATATTATATATAATTTAT